AAAAAGTGTGTAAGTTTCAATAAAAACAGCTATATCAATTTATACGTATGTATAGTATTATGCACGAGTGACATTAATGGTTCCTGTAGGAGAATTGGGACATCTGCATGACAATAGGGACGGATGTCCCGATTCTCCTGCAGCGCACGCTAGCTGCTAGACGAGATCTCTGCCGTTCGTCAATTGACTTGTATAATTTTAAATGCACGCAAGAAAATTAACATTATGTGAGCTTACAATGTGAAATAGTTAAAAGAAAAGATGGCCTGACATGAACAGACACACAACTTGAAATAACATTCAAAAAGTATAGTTTTTTGGCACTCACCCCGTACAGCGTTCCTGTGCACCGGAAAAGGACAGCTGATAGTTTCCAGCGTTACTTGATGCAAAAAGGAAAAAACCTGAAAGTACAAGTGGTGATTCGAAGCTGCCCATCTCTAAGATATTTGCGTTTCCCTATTCTCCTTCATCCTAATTCTCCCGCCTCTCCCCTATATATTTGGGAAAAAGGCCAAGAACTTTAAATCAGGCCATCACCCCCTTTCAGCGTGAATGGTGACACTAATCTACAAATCAGAAGATTGCAGGTTCGAATCTCAAAGTTGCCAGGAACCTTTGAGAACAAAAAACGTCCATGACCTGGAGCACTCAAAGTCCTCTCAGATTCGAAGCCGACAGCCAATTTTGGTTGTTTTTTTCAGACCAGGTCCAAAGACACACCAACACCACTAAATTTGCCCTTCCGTTTGGCCGGCTCAGCCCTCGGGAACCCCGGCTCCCATGCCCCCGCGCACGGCTGGATACGGTTGGAGCCGTGTCTCTGACAGGGCCTCGGGAGAGGAGAAGACACTAAACCCATTGTCCTGGCGAGGATAATTTTTTTCTAGAAAAATCACGTTTTTGACACGGCGTGCACAAGAGCTGCTGGTAATCGCAGAGCTTTTTTGCCATCCCGAGATCCCAGGTTTTGAGAGGTTGATCACGGGATATCCCGGAATCCCGGCATTGAGCAATTCTGTTATAAATGTGGCGACATGTTAGCGTTTCAATCCATCTCTCGCGGACATTCTGAACAGGAAAACACCCGGTCGTCAGCCGTCTTAGGTAGGCAGTAGCAGTCCAAGGTCCTAATTTCTATCAGAGGCGTTGTCGTAAGCCTGGAGCTTCCATCCTGGCCTTTACCGGACTCGTCCGGAGGTGTCTCCCGGGATCGGAACGGTCCAGCGACACCCACCATACCACACCATACCATACCATACCACACCGCCATGCTTACTCTTGAGGTAGGCGTGAAGTCCGTCGTGGAATTTCCGGAAGATTTCAGTACCTTTTTACAGGTACGGCACTTAAATATACTGTCATCCTGACTTCTTAGAAAGCGTCCCACACCGTGCACTTTCACTTAGGATGCTCCCAAACACGCTGCCCTTCTCACGGGCCGCTCCGCCACGAGGCACTAGTAGCAATTGACCTACTGGACATGCTCGCTTACAGACAGGACTCCCGGTCTGCTCCGACTTGATAGCCGCATCGCATGTTCTCGGGTAATAGAGCTGTTGTGCCGCGTACGTGAGGAGACGGCGCGCAAGGGATGTGGTCGAGTTCGGATCTCAAGTAAACCTCAAGCTTGCAGAATGCAGCTAGCTTCTCCGAGAGTTCACAAAGTACATCAACATTCTGGACATACAACCACACAAATTCTCCATTCTCACGTAACTAACATTGTGAGCTACTTTGTTGGTTTCCGCATACTACCAGCGATGCACTTACAGCAATGGCTTTGGACGGGAGAAATCTCATGAGGATCCCGAAATTCCGAGATTTTTATCTCGAGATTCAATATTAATGCACTCCGGGATCCCGGCATCATCAGTCCTAGGTGAAAGCCACAAATCTTACCATCAAAGCTCCTTTTGACTGAGGTTGCATCCGAACTGGAAACCTTCCTGAGGTATTACGCTTCCGCATACATTCATCAACGCATGCTGCGCCGGTGATGATTAAAGGCCCCGCTGAAAATTCATTCGACACACGGCACGTGTTCCCTGACGACTGACCGGCGAACAGGGCGGTAGATGACTGCCAGGTCCCTGAGGGTTGTCAGTTGTCAGTTCCTGTCACAGCCGCGGCAGTCGACAGTGTAGGAAGCGACCATCAGTCTCCCGGAGTCGGTCGGTGGGGAGTGTGACAAACTGCCATCAGCACTCCACAACTAGTCGACAGCGTGGCAAACTAACATCAGCAATCCATAGCTTTTCAGTTTCGACAGTGTGATAAACGGCCGTCAGCATTCCACAGCCTTTCGGCAGTGTGGCAAACTAACATCAGCACTCTACAACCTTTCGACAGTGCGGCAAACTACCAGCAGCACTCCACAACCATTCGATGGCGTGGCAAACTACGAGTAACACTCCACAGCCTTTCGACAGTGTGACAAATTAACATCAGCCTTCCACAACCTTTCGGCGGTGAAGCTAGGTACCATCAGCTCTTCGCAGCTTTTCAGTTTTGACAATGTCGCAAACTACCGTCAGTACGCCACATTTCCACAGTGTCGCAAGCTACCGCGGGTACTCCACAGCCTCTCGACAGCGCCTATCAGTCCTCAACAATCGACAGATGAACATTGTGACAAAGGCTAGCCGGGCCCCTAACCGATCGATCACACGGACCCCTAACCGCCTGGTGAGCGATCGTCGGCGCTCCACAACCGGCCCGATGGTGACATGGCAACGAAGGCTGGGCTTTACGGCAGCGAGTCGGGCGGAAGACTTGACCCTCATTCCTCAACAAACGACGAATGCCTGAGTGGCCATGAGCGGATAGTCAGCCAGCTCTTCAGCTGCACCAAGTACGCGTCTGTGAAGAGGGACGCGCTCCGGCGGCCCCGAGCGGCAGGTGGCTTCGGCTCTGCGTTGCGTGCCCGCTCAGCGCGCCGCCCGGCGGTCGGCCGGGAGTGAGGCCGCGGTGGCAGGCCGGTGGCCGGCGGTAAGTACGGGCGACGAGCGGTAAGACCGGGTAGCGGTCCTCAAACCCAAGCAAACCACGTGGCCTTTACGCTGCCATTCAGAGGTGCGGATGTCGGGGTTTCCACGGCTTGGCGTGACCACGTGACCACGCTGGAGTGTCCGCTGACAAACAGCGCAGCGTGCCCCGCGCGGCCGCTCGTTAGTGCGGGCGGCCGACGCTGCCCCGGGCTCGCGACAACGGTCGATATTTCGTGCCCCTCTGGCAGCGTTGGGGAACGCAGCCAATCCATGCGCCCGGAGGGTGCCCGGGCGCAGCGGGGGAGGGGCGAGGCGGGCAATTATCCCAGCGGGAGGTCTAATTAGCCCGCCGCAACCGCTTTCCATTTCCGACAACGCGAGAATCGATAATCCTGATGGCAGATGGCAGCACCGTCCGAAGCGGCGGCTAACGACGCGCGGCGGACTGAACAAAGGCGGGCTCACGACGACCGTTATCAGCATGGGAGGCGCCATGGCCCCAGCGCCATTGTGCGGTCGCGGCGAGAACGTTCCACATGCCTAGCACTGGGCTCTCCCGGGACAAGGATCATCTAACGGAGCTTGTTTACCAGACCTCTGAACGGACGCCGCTTTTGTCAGACGGCAATGCGCGTGCATCATTTTAAACATATTGCATGCGGGTGACAGGCATGGTTTACATGCACTGTTGTCCCACCCATCAGTGCGAAGAAATAAAATGCTTCCGTGTTTATGTAGTGGGTCGTTCAGGGCACGGGAGCCTGGCCTAACTGGGCCAGGAAATGCCTCGGAGTTGTTCGATACATCCTCAGTAGAGGCTACCGGCAGCGGTCGCGACGGGAATTGGCTGTCACGTCGGAGCCTTACTGCAACCCCAAGCTGTCAGGGTAACCACCAACGGACAGCCGAGCTCTTAGGGTAACCACCGGTGGATAGCCGAGCTTTGGGGCAACCACCGCTGGATAATTGAGCTCTCAGGGTAACCACAGACGGACAGCCGAGCTCTCAGTGTAACCACCGGTGGATAACCGAGTTCTCAGGGTAACCACCGGTAGACAGCCGGGCTCTCAGGATAACTACGGATTGAGCCGGACTCTCAGGGTAACCGCCGGTGGATAACAGAGTTCTCAGGGTAACCACCGACGGACAGCCGAGCTCTCAGGGTAACCGCCGGCGGACAGCCGAGCTCTCAGGGTAACCACAGACGGAGAGCAGAGCTCTCAGGGTAACCATCGACGGACAGCCGGGCTTCCAGAATAACCACAGACGGATAGCCGAGCTCTCAGGGTAACAACAGACGGATAGCCGACCTCTCAGGGTAACCACAGACAGATAACCGAGCTCTCAGGGCAACCACAGACAGATAACCGAGCTCTCAGGGTAACCAGACGGATAGCCGAGCTCTCAGGGTAACCACAGACGGATGGCCGAGCTCTCAGGGTAACCACGGACGGATAGCCGAGCTCTCAGGGTAACCACAGACGGATAGCCAATCTCTCAAGGTAACCACAGACGGATAGCCGAGCTCTCAGGGCAGACGGATCGCCGATCTCTCAGAGTAACCACCGGCATTAAGCCGGGCTACCAGGCTAACCACCCGCTGATAGCCACATTAATCATGAACATCATATCCGGTTTCCGCCCCTTCTGTAAAAATGCGGTGCAAAGCACACGAGAAAAGTGTGGATCCTACTCAAGATAATTTTGTGGGCTATCGGTGTGAGATAACAGGGTATCAGAGCCAGCCTCGGTTATGCCTGGTTCAGATCGCCGCCAGGTGAGCAGAAACTGGGCGCGATGAAGCGCAAAGAATCCCTAACACTGAAGATGTGTGCAATCGGTTTGGCAACCCTCTTTAACTTCACACTGCTCGCTCATTCAGTTCGGGCAGCTATGACTCAGAATATACAAACCTCGCGTCTCAACACGTGACCAACCAGCCACACCCACCTGCAGTTTCGACCCACAACTCCTCCACGCATGCCACACCCAAAACACACACGAGCAAGGCAGCAGCAATGCGTTTCGTTTATTAGTGGCAACTTACAACACGCTCCAATTGCCATAAAATGTAAAACTATCAAACACGCTATCAAAAACGGGCAGCAAACCCCAGCCAGCGCGCCCCAACAGCCAGCGCCGCGGGAGAAGGGCGACAGACAGCCTCGCGCCAGCATGCCACCACCCCAGGCGATGTCGGAGCTTGGGAAACGCGGCCTCCGGTAGCAAAAATACTGGAGCTGTTGACTGGTTCTAATATCACGGGCCCCGGCGGCGACGGCCGGCGGCCGGCTGACTGGGTGGGATCGGTCAACAGGCGCCAGTCCCAGCTGACGGGCGCCAGTCTCGGTCGACAGGCGCCAGTCTCGGTCAATAGGCGCCAGTCTCGGTCAACAGGCGCCAGTCTCGGTCAACGGGCGCCAGTCTCGGTCAACAGGCGCCAGTCCCAGCTGACGGGCGCCAGTCTCGGTCAACAGGCGCCAGTCTCACTTGACCAGCGTCAGTCTCAGCAGACAGGCACCAGTCTCCGCTGACGGGCGCCAGTCTAGCTCGACGGGCGTCAGTCTCGGCTGCCAACCAACAGTCTAGGCCAACAGGCGCCAGTGTCAGGCGACGGGCGCCAGTCCCGGCTCCCGGCGGCGGCCTCAGCTGATGAGCGCCAGCTTCTGCGCCAGCTCTGGCGCCAGGCTGGGCAGCAGCGCCTCCAGCTCGGCGGGGAAGTCCCGGCGCAGGCTGAGCACAAACTCGCGCACCAGCCTGGCCGTCTCTGGCGGAGGGGCGGGGCGCGCGGTCAGGCAGGCGCCAACGACACCAGACATGCGCCATCAGTCACACCAGTACAGCTGGGGGGGGGGGGGGGGGATCCTTCGACACAGCGATGGATGGGTGCAGCAGCTGAAGGCTGCAGACGCGCCGTTCTCGCATTTGAACCGCGCTCATGGGTCTGAAACGGTTAATGTTCCAATTGCGTGATCACGAGTGGCAGCAACAAATACGCTGCAGCGACAGCTGAGCCCACCAAGTTTTTTCTTGACCGACGGGACAGCGTGGACGTGAGCACGCTAACGCCGAACAAAACAACACCAGTCGAGCGGTGTAATATCTATTAGCCTTTCGCCTCACGCGTAACGACGGCTCATGTATAATGCAGGCCGGCGGGGTGTCGGACCAATGGGGAAACACGCAGGTGATATCGAGTAATTGCCCGGGCTATTACCCCTGTCAATTACGCCAATTTGCACAGAACGTTACAGCCATTCATTTCGCAAGTCGCGAAGTGTAAGTTTCACTGAGCACGGCTGACGCGTAAACAAGTACGCATCACGGCCTGGAAAGCTTCAGGTGGCGCGCAGCCCACCAACCCATGCTTTCATCATCGGTTTATCACGTTCCACGGGCCTTACTACCGATGACGACGACCGGATCAAAAGCTGACCGAAACGTCACGTGCCATTAACGTCAATGGCAACAATATGAAGAATTGCTGCATCACTTCAAGAAAAACGTAACGCGAGATCTCAAGCAATAGACATAGTGGGAAACAGCGACGATTCTCAAGACACCCGGCCGTGTTCTCATCCCAAAACTTCTCCAAGGTGGAATCATCAGTTGCCAAATAGATAAATACCGAACGATTTTTGATACCGCAAGGCCTGACCACTCGCGCCAGCTAACGAGGGAGGGGCAGTACAGCACCCACACAAGTGTGCCGAGCTGCGGTCCGGGCTCGTGTCTGGTCACCGGCCGGCAGTCTCTTGTCTTGTCATTGTCTGCGTCATCAGTCTGAGAAATTACGCTCTGCATGGCGTGGCACGAGTGTATGATAAGCTCTCCGAAGTACTGAACACTCTCACACCGCACAGGATTCCAACTCACGTCCCCATCCGTTTATGACCCCAACCACACCCCACCCGTAACCTCCGAACGCTGCCGCCCACGCCCCCTCCCCTGCCAGGCTCCTCCCACTCGCGCTCCCCAGCGCCCGTCGCCTCCCGCCGTGAGCGGCACGTACCTCCCTCCTTCTCCTGCTTGGTGCCGTGCACGGTGGCGGCGCAGCTGACCAGCGCGCCCATGTGCTGGCCCAGGCACGGGTGCCGCCGGCCGTACAGGTGACCCAGGCACCGGAACACCGTCTCGTTCTCGGCGAAGTCCTCGCGCAGCGGCAGGCACGAGACGAACACGGGGAACACCTGGTCCATGGGCACGGCGTCCGTGTCGGCGATGATGAGCCGCGCCACGGCACCGCAGATGTTGTCGCGCGTGCGCTGGTTCTTGGTGGAGGCGAGCGCGCCGGAGAGCGCCGACAGCATGGCCGGGTACTCGGGCCGCGAGACCTCGCTGCCGGCGCGGCACTGTCGGAGCGGGACGGCTCAGCGCAGGACGGGTACCGCCACAGACACAAGACCTCGCTGCCGGCGCGGCACTGTCGGAGCGGGACGGCTCAGCGCAGGACGGGTACCGCCACAGACACAAGACCTCGCTGCCGGCACCTCGCTGTCGGAGCGGAACGGCTCAGCTCAGGACGGCTACCGCCACAGACACAAGACCTCGCTGCCGGCGCGGCACTGTCGGAGCGGGACGGCTCAGCTCAGGGCGGGTACCGCCACAGACACAAGACCTCGCTGTTGGAGCGGGACGGCTCAGCTCAGGACGGGTACCGCCACAGACACAAGACCTCGCTGCCGGCGCGGCACTGTCGGAACGGGACGGCTCAGCTCAGGACGGATACCGCCACAGACACGAGACCTCGCTGTTGGAACGGGACGGCTCAACTCAGGGCGGGTACCGCCACAGACACAAGACCTCGCTTCCGGCGCGGCACTGTCGGAGCGGTACGACCGAGCTTAGGACGGGTACCGCCGCGGAAAACGGGAGGAGTTCGATTGTTTCGCGAGCTCGATGACAAGGCGGTGGTCATTGCAGCCGGTGACGCCGGCTGGTGCTGCTTTAGGCTACACTCAAAGCCCTGTCTGACACCGGCAGCTGCTCAACGAACCCCACCCCGCCAGCCACAACAACCGTAAGTGACACGCAACTAATGACAACTGTAACCAACCGCCACCATCCGTCCACACCCGCTCAACACCCGTCCCCATCCGCTCAGCACCCGTCCCCATCCCCTCATCACCCGTCCCCATTCGCTCAGCACACGTCGCCCCCCTTTCAGCACACGTCCCCACCCGCCCAGCACCCGTCACCTCCCTCTCAGCACCCACCTCCATCCGCCCAGTACCCGCTCAGCACTCGTCACCCCCCATCAGCACCCACCGCCAGCTCCCCGAGGCCGAACACGGCGTTGCTCTGGACGTCGTCGGACTCGGCGTCGCCGGCGGCAGGCAGGAACACGGCCAGCAGCTGCGGGAACAGCTGACGCACGGCCGGCTCGCCCAGAAACTCCAGGCACTCAGCCAGGCAGCCGACGCTGAACGAGCGCTCACAGTCGGAGCGGGTCCGCTTCTGCGGGCCGGGGGAGGGGCCGATGTCAGCCGTCTGCGTGACGCAGCTGTTTCATGCACACTAGCAACCATGACGAGCAGTTCCATAGGGGTCGTTACTTATATTAGATGGGATGACTCGTCCCTGGTTGGTTTTGCACCGCAGGAAAAAAACAAAAAACCGCAGACGCACGCAGAAAGTTCTAAACAGTTCGAAAACGGCACAATGCAATCACTCCCTTCGCTTCGCAACTAGCACATCAACGCATCATGAGCCGTTGTGCCCATGCCGGACGTAAACGTAGCAGACGACACAGCAACTCTCTCCTTCCCAGCCGGACCCCGATCGGTGCCGGCGGGCACCACGGGCGCTCGCGCCTCACCGTCTTCAGCAGCAGGGCCGGGTACAGGTCCATGAACACCTGCAGGAAGCGCTCGGTCGGCAGCGCGCGGCCCAGGCTGGGCACCACGTCGCCAGCGTACTCGATCAGCATCTCGTCGTACTCCGAGTCGTCCTCGTCGTCCTCGCGCTGGTCCTGACACGTGGTCTGGGGACGGGCACACGTGGCGTGAGGACGGGCGCACGTGACGTCAGGACGGACACACGCGGCGTGAGGACGGATGCACACGTGGCATGAAGACGGATACACGAGGCGCGAGGACGGGCACACGTGGCGTGAGGACGGGGGCACACGTGGTGCGTGAGGGCGGCCACACGTGGCAGCCGCGAGCGACACGTGGCCCGTCGACGGGACACACGTGAGCGGCACGCCCGTGGCACAAGTGTTCGCACGTCCGCACCCGGCCTCAATGTCCACCGCAGGAGAATCGTCGTCGGCGAACGAGAACAGGTGGCAATCCACCGACAAATGGCGAACTGGTCGCCCCGGCACACGTCCGCGACAGAGACAGTCATCTGAGCCCTGGGATGGAGACGGCCGTGCTCATCGCAGATCACAGGGCGTGGGCAATGATTTTCTGGGGTGAACGACACATTAGACACCGTCGTGCCATACGGTGCCGTGTATGACACGCCCCCGAGAGGCGTCGTCGGGAGCCGTGACTCGGGAGGGCCTACGAGACACAAGAACGGGTGCAGGTGTCGGTTACAAACGGCACGTCGTCTGCGGATGGCATGCGAGGCGGCTACGGTCTTCACACTGGTCTGGTACCTAACCTCACCACAACAGACAGCGAGCGTCACAGCGAACCACCTTTCTACATGAATATTTTTTCGTCTCACTGCCCCATTACTGGTACCACAACAACGTGGTGGCAATGATGATGATCACTGAAGTTCGGAGACACCCCAGCTGGTATGGCCATTTCGACGCCCTGCTACCCCACATCACCCCAGCTGGTGCGACCACTTCGAAGCCACGCTCTCCCACATCACTCCGGCTGGTACGGCCATCTCAGCGCCCCGCCCATCAGCGGCACACGACGGCGTCTACTCGAGCCCCGCCAGCCAGCGGAGCGTACGGAGCGGTCTGCCCCCGCCCCCCCCCCCCCCCGCGCGCGTGCCATACCTTGTACGACATGACGTCACGGACCGAGTTGAGGATGGCGTCCAGGTGACCCTCGCCCTGCAGCACGGGCGCGCCCACCGACTTGAGCACCTCGGCGTAGCCGTCCAGCGCCGACATCACCACGATCGCCTCGTCGTCCGTCTTCACCAGCTCGTGCATCTTCGGCACGAACACGGACAGCGCCTGCTGCAGGCCTGGTGGCGGGCGTCACGTGATGTCAGGACGGGCGGGCAGTGAACTCACGGCGCAGCGCAGCCCTCTTCCGCTTGATCCAGGGGTGAAGACGGTGCCAATGGTCGGACAATTTTGTCCTGTCGCGAAGTGCATAAACCCAGCCAGCCACACCAACCAGGGGTATTTCAACTGGCAAACGTCATCGGATTACTCACACAAATTACGTCAAACCATGGAAGTGCGGAGGCGAAGCAGATAATTCACGCGTCATTCCGCGACTCACACAAAGGACCGACCCAAATGACACTACCGATCAGATCACGATGGCAGAGATCTTACCCCCCCTCCCCCCCAGTCGTTTGCAAAAAAAAAACGGGACAGCACGGCCCCCGCCGCCATCCGCGTCCCTGCAGCACATCTCCACCTCCCGCCCCTCCCCCGCCAGCGGCGTACCGTCGGCCGTGTCCGCCGAGCGCGAGAGCGCCACGCAAAACTGCGTCAGCGCGTCGACGGCCGCCTTGCGGATGTCGTCCTGCGGGTGGATCAGCAGCTTGTACGTCTCGTCGAAGCACTTCTCCAGGTGCGGCAGGAAGGCGGCGCCGCACTCCTCCGACAGGATGCGCAGCGAGTTCAGCGCGTCCTCCTTCTCGTCCAGGTAGCTGTTCTCCACGTTGTAGCTGCCGGAGGAGGAGGTGGGGGAGGGGACGTTCTGTGAGACAGGCGGCGGCGGCGGTATGCTGAATATATTGTTGAACAGAGCCAACAGGTGAAGCCATCTAGTTTCCAGCCGATGTATCCATACGCTGCGATTTACAGGAGTTAGCGACGGTTGATTTTGCTGCATGGCACTGGCGACCGGGATAGGACGCCGTCGTCGCCGGCCGCTTACCCGGTGACATCCTCGTCTTCGTCGTCGTCGTCCGCGGTGTCGTCCAGATCCTCGGAGTCGGTGGGCGAGAGGTCGTCGAAGAGGTCGAGCACAGCCGCCGCGCCGCCCTCCTCGTCACGGAACTGGAGCTGAACGGCCATGGCCAGGTCAGGTCGGGTCGCTGGGGTCGCAGACGTGGCGCACACGGGGAGCGGACGTCACCATCGCTGTGCGCTGCGGCGTTGTCACTATGACACACGGGGACATCACATGTACGCCAGCACTGCATCAAAACGAACCATCCGACAAGCGCATCAACATACCGTGAGATAGTCATCTTCGATCTGATTAGACCCCACTGGCAACTTCTTGCGACCTCTAACATTCACTCGTTGCTCACAATCTCCCAGAAACTAGCTTCCGCTCACTGTCACAGCAACGCACCAAGCCTTTTAACAGCCTGTCTCCACCCAAAGCCTATAATAATGAATCTTATCTCCTGGCAACGCATCATGTCTCCCAACAACGCATCATGTATGCAGCAACAAATCATGTCTACAAGCGATGCATGTCTCCTAGCAACACACTGTCTCCAAGCAATGCATACTGTCTCCTAACAACACATGCCTCGAAGTGATGCATGTCTCCTAGCAACACACTGTCTCCAAGTGATGCATGTCTCCTAGCAGCGCATCATGTTCACAAGCAGCCCGTCGCGCCTCCTCGAAACGCACCACGTCTCCCCACACCCCCGACTCACCGTGACACCCTCGATGCTGGCCAGCGTCTCGCACATCCACTCGGTGATCTTGGGCAGGAAGGGCAGCATGCCTTCCTTCATGACGGTGCTGACCGAGGCGAAGAGGCCGTAGGAGGCGCGCCGCATGTCCGGGTCGTCGTGCTTGTCAACCAGCGAGATGCCCAGCGCCATGCACTCGCCGCACAGCGGTCCGAACGTGTCCGCGCCCAGCGTCTTGGCCAGCACGCCCAGCGTATCTGCGGCCAGCGGGGTTCGGGCCAGCGGGTCAATGTCGCGCCATCCGGCAGCCTTTCCACATGTGCGATTGCGTGCAGTTGTGCTCGATTTCCATAGCGTTAGAGAGCACATTGCTGTAGCTTGTCGAGCGAGACAAATGGCTGGTGAAACATCGTCAAAACATTAACCTTAATTAAAACCTCGTAAAGTAAGCGACATAAACGAATTGAAGAAACATTGTAACTTGACCTCCGCGCAAAGTCCACCACGCTATCGGCAGCCTTCGCCCACCGCTCCTCCTTCCCCCCGCTTACCGAGCGCCTGCACCTGCAGCTCCTGGTTCTCGTCGGAGCGTTCGGCCAGCAGGTACGTGCGCAGCGCCATCATCACCGGCTCGAAGTACGGCACGAGGCCCTCGCGCGCCGCGTTCCCCAGCGCGCCGATGGCGCTGATGGCCAGCTCCAGCACGTGCGCGTGCTTGTCGGCCGGCAGCTGCAGCAGCTGCAGCAGGTGCTGCATCAGCGGCGGCAGGTAGGGCAGCACCTCCTCCCCCAGCGTTTCGCAGAACGTCTCCAGCGCGTAGAACATGCGGTCGCAGCCTGCCGGCGGGGGAGGGGGGGGGGGGGGGGCGGCGTTATGGAAGAACTGCAGGCCAGGGAGGCAGTCGGCTTATAGGCAGAAGTGTACCCCGATGGGCGGGGCCGAAAAGGCGCGAAACTACACGTATTGGAAAGCAAATGTTCGATGAAATGTGGGCTTTGTCTGTAAAAGATTACACGTCCGGTACTCGACAGCACCCATACAGCCATTAACACCATGCTCTACGCACCATGAACAAAACCCCAATTTTTAGGCAGAAATACGCCGTGCTTATCCCTAATTTCGAATGCTTTCGACCATCTTGGAGTCTACTTTTGCTAGTTTGGAGCGCCGCTGCCGTAGGTAACGCAGTGCCCCCCCCCCCCCCCCTATGTCTGACCTGGTGGATATTTTGACAGTTTGGAGCGCCGCCGTCGTAGGAAACGCAGCCCCCCCCCCCCCCGTATTTCTGACCTGGTGGATCTTTTTCAGCTGACTGCAGCGTCGCTGTGATGGAGGCTAGGTAGCTGTACAGCACCGGCATCAGCTCCGCCGCGTACTTGCTGATGTCCGGCTGGCGGGCACCACACGAACCAATCAGCGGCCAGGACAATGTGACGTCACACATGCAGGCATTTACGGCACAGCAAAATACGCCGAATTGACCGCGTTCTCCAGCCTGTCACGGACCACTTTCGTATTTTGCTCGCAGCCTTCAGTCATTCATCTCGACGTGAGGCATCGTCATGTCCTGTGCAGTCACTTCGGGTCGGGGCACTAGCCGGGAGTCAACGCCGACGCGTCACCGCGCCGGCCGCGACACCACCCAGCAGCGCTCCCGCCGGCCGGCGCCCGACCACGACCGACGGGTGACGGTAACCACCCATCTACGCTCGTCACCGCCAGCATCATCAGCGCCGCCATTCGCCGATCCAAGCAACAATTTCCTCCGTCGGGAATCGAACCCCAGCCCGCCAGCCTGCAGCCCACTACCGTCACCGTTCGCTGCCGACGCACCTGGAGGTGTTCGGCGAACTGTCCGAGCGTGAAGAGAGCGGCGTTGCGCACCACTGTGCTTGGATGCTGGATGCCCTGACAGACGTGCTGGAGCCAGGCGGCCAGGTGCTTGGTGCGCACGCGCTCCGAGCAGCCCTCGGCCGTCATGGCCAGCGCCAGGAACGCCGCCTTGCGCTGGTACTCGTCATTGCTGGTCAGCAGCTGCTGCACGTGCTGCAGCTGCAGCGGACAGGGCGAACACAGCTGTCAAGTAGGCCGGCGCCGCCATAATGGAGCACGATGTAATCTGTAGCGACAAGCAAAAGTGGCAGACAACTTTCAAGGAGACGCAAAACTGTGAACAGCTGTACATAGCTGATGTCGCTCACGCATTTGAGTCGCAGGCTTGGACACGTCCTCACCCAGCCCTGCCTTCTTCGTAAGACTGCCACTCCGCCACGCGCGCACGGCTCGGCAAAGCGCCGCACCACACAGCGTACGCCACGCCAGCCGACTGGCGCTGAGCGATCGGCCGGCCCGCCGCACTGACCAGCGGCGTGAGCAGCTTCTCCGGCGGCAGGTTGATGGCCAGCGAGTCGATGAGCCGCGTGGAGGCGGTGACGACGCTGTTGCTCTCCTCGCTCAGCTCGTTCTCCTCCTCCTCCTCGTCGGTGCGCGTGCACAGGATGGGCACAACCACGGCCAGGATGGGCTCCACCAGCTTGTGCTTGGTGATCACCTGGCGACGAGGCGGCGTCACGCACGCATACGCCACAGGCGAGGGGCGAACGCACGATCTGCCCGGCGCCTCCAGGTACTATTCATCTGCGAGTGAAACGCTAAGGGCACAGCCAGTCTGCCAGTGCCGGCATTAAGAACACTGACGCGGACACTCGGCGGTATCGGGCCCCCGTACGGTGCACTGTGTACGGCCCGGGAGCGCTACAGCTATACGCAGAAGAGGACAGAAGGCGGAAGCCTGATGTCCGACGGGCGTACGGTCGCACGACGACACCATGCAACGGGTCTACGAGTGTTAGGATGTCAACAACTGCGCTTAGCCCCGATACCACGCGATCGCTGATAGCACATTCAGCGCGTTCCACTGCGTGGCGGAAAATGACAACGCGCAGCCTAGCGGCGCAGTCCGTACCGACATCATGCAAGCCCACCCAACGCTCCCCTCCCCGTTGCCGCCGCGGCGACACCGGCCCGCCGCACCTTCTTCTTCAGCCGCGTCAGCCAGTCCACGCAGTGGAGCGCCTTGCAGCGCAGCGGCTCGCCCAGCTCGGTGTCCGCCGCCAGCCGGAGGCAGAGCTCGACCACGGCCGGCACGTGCGGCAGCAGCAGCGCCACCTCCTGGTCCACCAGCGCGTCCACCAGGTCCAGCGCCTCGGCCGCCTGCTCCTCGTCGGCACGCGCGAGGCCGCCAATCGAGGTCAGCACAGCCGGCAGCAGCGACTGGAAGCCGGCCTGAGGGCAGAGAATGGGGAGGGTTAGCGAGCCGCAACGAACACCACGGCCGGAGAAGCGACTGAAAGCAAGCCCGGTGGCAGGGTACGGTCAGCCGGAGTCACCCCATGGCCCAGACAGCAGGGCGGGGGCCAGCGGCCGGTAGTCAGTCTGAAGATGGTGGGAGGGGGCACGGTCAACACTACAGACGGCGGCGGCAGAAATTCGGTACGGTGGTGCGAGGGGGAGGGGGGGGGGGGGGTATTGATTACGTCACCCCTGCCAGCGCCGCCGAGCCCGAAAGATTAGTCGAGGACGTTGGGAACAACACGACTTTTCCGCGGTGGAGCCCTGTCAATAGTGAGCACTTCATTTGAGGCAGAGCCAGCCTCAGGCAGTGATCACTTCATTTGAGAACTGACAGAACTCCCGCAATGGATGACGGCACTGAAAGCGCGCGACAGTTACCGACATGAGATGCATAACAATAGCTGGTGGCTTACTTTCCAACGCTCGCGACTGCCGAGATCAAACAGGACGCCACTACTGGCGGAAACCGAGTCTACTGGAAGTTTTCTGCCAAGTGAATTGCACCATAATCCCTTGATCACGACGCCAACGCCCTTGACCACTTGCTCACCCACGCCGCACGGAGCTCGTGCTCAATGTCACGCGACGTTCTGGCAGGTATCATGTAACCGCCCTCGCCGGCGTGCCACGACCAAAACGTGGCGAGACCCAAATACCCGACGAGATGGACCCAATCGCTCCACGTTCGAACCAGCGATAGGATTACCGCTCCTTAACTGATAACGAGATACATAAATGAAGCTTACACGGGCGCGGCAATGGCAGGTGACTCACAGCCTCGGCCCAAACAAGGGTACCGGGCGAGACGGGTCCGCCGCGCGGCGGCGGCCGGGGAGTGGCGCCCGCCCCGCGGCCCGTCAGCCGTGACGGCCGTGACGAGCGTGACGGCGGTGACAGGTCGCATTCGGGCCCGTCCGACCGGCCAGGTTGTGAGAGCGAGCCCGGCGGGCCCGGTCCGGCCCGGGCAGCGACGCCAGCACCGGACCGGCCCGTCCACGGACAGCCGGTCCGTGATGCGGTCGTGATCACGGCCTGCGACGCCTCTCCGGGCAGTCCACGTCAGGCTACAGACACAGCGCCCGCACTGCCAGCGTTCTCAACGCACGGCGGACAAACCCCGATGGTCATGCAACTACAAACCCAACGGAACAGTCCGGTCCAAGCACGACGCACCAGACGCCACTTCGCTCTCCTCGCTCTCGTAAGCCGCGGCGCACGAACCAAACCCGACACTTATCACAAGCGCACGTCTTTTTCCGGCGATCTCACCACAGCCACCGCACAGGACGCGCCCGCACCACCGGCCTCACCAGCTCGTCCGTGCCCAGCACCGGCGTCAGGTTGGTCATGGCCTGGATCACGTAGAAGTGGACGGCCGGGCTCTGCGTGCCGAGCAGGGCGGCGAACAGCGACAGCAGCGTGCCGATGTGGGGCCGCAGCTGCTCGGCGCAGCTCTGGCTGATGATGCTCAGCGTGTAGATGCCCAGCTGAAACAGACGGCGCGGCGCCCGCGTCAGCGGCGGAGGGACGGCCGACGCACGCGGCGATGAGACGACGCTCCCGCGCCAACGGAGATGCATTCACATGCTGGTTGAAAAACGGAACGGCATCGGCAAGACAGGGACACGCTCCGGACGTCCCAGCGCAACATCGCTGTCCTACGTGAACGACGTTCTCCGCGCCATGTTCCACGTCCGCTGCTCGACAAAGAGACACAGAACACGGGTTTCATTATTCCTGATTATGGACCAGTTAAAGCACTGACCCGGTCCGACACCTCACTTCACCCTCCTTAGCGCGCGAGCTGCACGGGCAAACCCAGCAGCTCTGGTGCGGCCAGGGCCAACATCGAGCGAGGTAGCCGAACACAGGACGACCGGGGAGAGGGATGGGGGAGGGCGACCTGCGGACACGGGACCGGGAGCGATCTCTGAGACGGCGGACTGGGGACGGTCTCCGACACACCAGGCCAGGCGCCACCGCCGGGACAGCTGGGAACGACCGACAACAGCAGCAGTCTTCGCCTGGGCGCCGTCAGTGGCCGTTGTGCAATGCGGTGCGACGCCGGGACCGGCCCACGCCAAACAGGGGGTCGGAAATGGGAAACACACGCAGCGCAAGCCCGTGCGCACGCTATCGGGTCCATCAACAAGTCAGAGACACTTGATTAACACACCGCCGCCGCCCTCCCACTGCTCCCTCCGCGGCAAGACAGCGTGACTCTCCAGACTCCCCGAGTCAAACCCTCGTGCTCCGGCTCACCGGCACCTCTCGCAGGAGCACCGGCCCCTGACACCTCCGCCAGAGGCCGACTCACCTCCTTGTCCGGCAAGTTCTCGGACAGCATGGTCTGCGACAGAAACTCCAGCAGCGTCGGCCACTTGTTACCGGGCAGCTCGTGCTTGGCCACGGTGCCCACCAGCTGGGCGATCGAGTTCTTGATGAAGCGCTCCCGCTCGGCGGCCAGCACACGCAGAATCTCCTGTTTCAGGCTGCCGACGGCGAACACGAACGTTGGCCCGAGTGACGGGGCGCCGCTCGACGCCAGTCCTCACACCCTTCGTCGCGGGTTGACCTTGCTACAGTGGTTCAGCCTAAAAATTATGTGTGTGTATATATATATATATATATATATATATATATATATATATATATATATACATGCAGTAAATATAGCCCAATGTTCTCGATGAAAAGCTTACGCACAATTTAATTGCTCACGTTAACAATGGAGTATTACTACATTAGCATGTACAACTTCATGCACAAAAAACAATATCCCACAGCACCTGCCGCGGCCGCCGCACTTGCACGTCCGGCGGCCGCGCAGTGCCAGCCGCGCAGCTGACGCACGCACCTGTCCTGAAACTGTTGGCCGAGCTTGGCCCACTGGCGCGCCTTGGCCAGCCGCTTGCGCAGTATGACGGCCGCGTACTGGCGCACCTGCGGGCTGGACGAGCGGCCCAGCACGGCGCACAGCTGCTCCACGGCGCCGGGCGCCTGCAGCAGTCGCTTCAGCTCCTCCGTCGCCTGCCGGGCGGCCGAGGTCAGGGGTCGAGCGCGAGCGGCGGGCACGGGCCGAAGGCGATATTTTTGCCGGTCAGAGAGGTAGCCACCCCTCTGTCCCCCCACCCCCCCCCCCCCCCCCCCCGCTGCCTTAATGTTTATCCGCCGTCCAGGGAGACAGGTCCCGTATGTGAGGTTCGGTTCTTCCTCCGAGACGGCTCCGGGGGAGAAGGCGAGAGAACCGCCCACCAACACCGGGGGCACTCGACTCATTAAATTCCGTTCCGCTACGTTTCCGGTCCGTTAGCAGCACGGACAGTCTGAAGCGTGTGAACGATCGTCTTCCAACCCGCCGTCTGCGTTATCAGCATTCCTGGCCGGTACCAACACACACAGAGCTCTCACCAGTCCAGTCCAGCCACTAAGCTCATGCTCTGGTGTAGCCAGTATCCCAACTGCACAACACATCACACCTTATGATAGGATCGCCATATGACACGTCTTCTGTGCAGCTACCATGACACGCCTCCTGCGCAGCTCCCTTCGGACAGCCGGTCGGCATGTCGCCGCCACCGATTCGTGCAGGTGCACACGAGTTCTGATGTGTCCAGTTCGTGACAATCGCCGCAGAAAGAGGGCATGACGTGATCATATGATTGGGCCAGCTCCTTAAAATATCATTCAATTTCTGTTAAAAATTTGTGAGTGTCATGGCAGCAGTCAAACCAGCACTTCATTCATGCTGTCTACACACATACCTGTTGGATGACATTGTTGTCTGCAACTAGCAGTCTTGAGAGCACTCCTTCCATGTTCTCCATTGTCATGCCTGGGAACCAAACACATCTGTATACACTTGCCCTTGTTCTTACACTATGAAAGAATGGGGAAGGCTGAGAGGGAGCTTGACAAATATATCATAACAGGTTGTGGTGAACTTTGCAATGACTGAGCACAACAAACAAATGTGTTATAATGCAAACAAATGATGTTAACAACTACCCCAGTTAAAATCATGTACTGATCCAAATCCATAAGGTGGGTCAACAGTATACAGACAGTTCACTCACTTAGTGCACTGCAAACTGTTTGGGATATATAACTAAAGAAAAGTTGACTTTCAAAGATGCTAAATCAAAATAAGCAGTTCCACATGAACTTGAAGACTCCAAGCAGAACAGCAGGTAACATATACTCTCCACCCCTTTTGTGGCTCTTCTTTGTGAATATGACCTTAAATTCATTTCCATTTCACTTGAGGAAAATATCACATAACTGTTTTGACTTTGCACACGCCACACAGAATACATACAAAACAATGCATACAGGACCACAAACACATGGTGCATAATCCTGAAAAAATGTGAGGACTGGTGTAGCTCTGGTCCATCCTGTAGCCAACAGCTTACTGCACTGGAATGCCACTCTGATACTAAATGTGGGCAAAAATGGATAAACTGTCATCAGGGGATAGGTGGGTATCCAGATAAATGTGCTGCGTGCAACGCAGACCACGCTCTAGGACTTTCACACAGGCACTTACAACACAAACTACCTTTTAAAAACAATTTGGTGAATCAAAACATCAACACTGGTCATGCAAATTTAAGGGAATGTTTAATGTTTGAAGACAATAAACCAAGCATTACATAGGATAAATAAGCTCACTTACAGCTACTGGTATTTTCTTTACATGTAAAAGTCTGCTCTGGACAGCATAATTCTCTGCTTAGTAAATATGCTCTGAACAGCTGAGAATTATGTGACAGGATCCAAATGATCTTGTTATGACATAAATAACAAAATTACTTAAGAATACTTTCCCTGATATACCCTTCCCCATTTTTGCAGGCATGTAGCTCAGAAGCTAGAGTGTCTTAGGTCTTCCAGCTCATTCCAATGCAAATTGTCATGGGATGTTTCAAATCATACCTGACATGATCCAGATATGTCTTGAAATTGTTCTGGCTAGCCCATGGTGCATGTTTGACATAAAGTGTGGAATGGTTGGATACAAATGTGACTAATATCTAATCAAATATATGCAATGATTTATCATATGCATGTGCTTATGTGGTACCTGGTAACACAACTAATGTGAAACATATGCCTTCTAAAAAGATGCCAGTCTGCAAAAGTCAATCAAACCCACCAAGCACCAACACGGAGCCCATGCGCTGAGCCTCATAACAGTGTGCAGAATTCAGGCTAGACCAATTACGCTGAATCAAGCTTACACTATATCTAAAAAATGAAACACAGGAGCTTTCGCATAAGCTAGAAACTTTTACAACAAAACATGATACAAAAGATGCATGTGTTCCAACATTGTTACGGTGATATTGCTGCTCTCCAGGCATGTTCAATGAAGGATATATTTTCACAGCCTGGTCTGTGTGTAATGAGCTGTGTGTTAGGTTGGTCTGGGGAACACACAGCTATTGCATTTACTGTGCTACACTGCTTCAATGATATACAGAAAAACATAGATGAGTTCTACAGCATTCCAAAGTACCAGAACAAGGCAAATAGTAAGTGTGGCCACTTGCAAAACATGTTCACAATAATACCAAGTGTGTAGTTTCCTATTCCCCTGGGATGGGGGTGAGGCTGGGTGGGGGCAGCCCACACATCCAACAAGTGGCAAGTTTGGGGAGAAGCTTTGCTCATACATTTCAAAGACCACTTAAGCCATCTGCTCCTACTAAGCCCCAACTAATTTGGCAAATAACGCACTCCTAGCATAAGTATCTGGCTCACAACCTGCAACGCTGCAAGAAGTGGACAGTCTAGGGCAAGCCCCGGGTCATAATTTACTATTCGGATTCGGCACGATGGTGACCAGGACCCAGCATCATCGATAGCTGTCTTTTCCACAGCCACAAGCGTGTTATGCGCGTAAACCTGAGCCCAATGCTAATTAAGTAACTTTACGTCGAATCAAATCGCCTATTCCCGTTCATAACCCGCATAAGTTACTTTAACAAGTTCTACACGGCGCTTACTCACCCTCTCACCGGCTCCACTCCGTCGCAACGAGACCGAGACCGGGGGTACTGTTCCCGGCATGTGGCGCATGTGGCAGCGGAGGTGGGTGGTGAGCCAGAGCAATCCCAGAAGCTGGCTTGTGCATACCTAGTGATGGTAATACAAAACGTAAACTATTTTGGTATAAATAATACTTTTTGGGATAAAAATGGCATTTACTAATTTTTTATAATAAATTTTTATAGAAATTAACAACTTTTTTTGCATAAAGGACATAAATTTAATAGATCAGAATGTTATGCATAAACTGCAACGAGTTGACTGGACGTTAACCCAAACCTTCTGACCGTGTCCAGCCGCATCTGTGTGGGATATTCGGCGCATTGGCGCCGAATTGTGGGACATTGCCCGCCCTGGCGCTGACTCAATTCACATTTGTTTTTGAAATGGGTGGTTGGTTGTGGTCAGTAGCGCAAGCAGGGAGGGGGGGCACAAGGGGTACGTGCCGCCCGCTTAGGTTCTGAGGGGCCCGGAGGGCCCCTCGGGACCTACGATTTGAGGGCCCGAAGCCACCGAAAGGCCGACCGGCGGTCCCATCCAGGGGTCCCGGCCCGGAGGCCCCATTCAGGGGTCACGGCCCGGAGGGCCAGGCACCCCAATGCCAGCCAGAAGGCCTGCGTGCTGATCAAGGGCCCAATCGATAAGGGCCTAGACTTCAGTCAGACACCGCCACTAACGCACAGTCGGCCCTGCGGTGGTATGGGCCTAAGAGCCCATTTCCCAAGCAGGGACAAAGCAGGAGCTAGCGATTTACATTGCTTGGGGCCCCACAGCGCCTAACTGGGGCTCTGCGTCATCTAGGGGCCCCAGGTCGGCCAGAGACAGCATTCGAAAAGGCCCGGAGAGCCTAGAGGGCCCACCAGTTCTGACGATTAAGGGCTCGATTGGAGGGTCTAAGGGCATAAAGGGCTGGTCGGAGTCTTATCCGGGGGCCCCGACTTGCGAAAACTGACCCTCAAGCACCTGCCAGGGGACCCTTTGCGCCGATCTGAGACACCCTGAGTCGATATAGGCCTATATATCGGTCAGGTACCACCAGTACTGCACAATCTGCTCCGTGGCGGTCTGGGCCTGAACGCCCGCTTCCCAATCAGCTGTAAAGCCGGAGTGATTTACACTTGTCGGGGGCCTTGTATCTGTCACGGGCCCACGGCGCCTAACAAAGGGTCCCATGTTCGCGCGGACCCCGAACGGGTCAAGAGAAGTATTCGATGAGGCCCGAAGAGGGACCCAGGCGGTACAACGGAACCGACGATCAAAGGCCTGACTGGAGGGCACAAGCGCACGAAGGACTGGCTGTAGGTCACATAAAGAATCGCGGCCCGTAGGAAAAGGGGCCTGAAATATCAGCCAGAGGTCCCCTTGCGCTGTTTTAGAAACCCCTGCAGTAATGCGAGTGTCTTAGTCGGTCAGAGACCGCAAACACTGAACAGTCGGCTCCATGTCCGTCTGAGCCTTTTAGACTAATTTCCCAAGCAGAAACGAGGCCGGGGTCCGCGATTGGCAACGTTCGGGGTCTCTGACACAATGAGGGGCTCTTATACCGGTTAGTGGCCACAGTGCCTAACAGAGGTCTTATGTCGGCAAGTGGCCCCAAGTCGGAGGGGTGGCTGAGGGGGTCCGAAGAGGGGCCGAAGGGTCTCTCAGGGCCAAAGATCAAGGGACAGTTAAAGGGTCCGAAGGGCTGGCTGTAGGTTACATTAAGGATCCCCGCCCATAGGTCCGTGATCTCAAATGTCAGTAAGATAATCTCTTGCACCGATAGGCAGGAGCGGATCCAGGATTTCGTCAAAGGCCACGTCGGGCCACGCAACGTTGTGGGGCCCCTGGAGTTTGAGGACCACCCCAAAAAACATCCTTGCATTTCGGTCAATACATTTTAAGACAAGTCGTATGTAACATATGTACATATATATATATATATATATATATATATATATATATATATATATATATATAGGTACGTATAGATGCATGTATGTGTTTACTTATTCATTTATTGCATAAATACGGAAACCCATCTTACTGTGCACGACCTTATAAAGCTAGGCATGCTACGCATGCATACACATAGAAATCACTCACTTTCTACAGATCGTTTTAAATGCTGTGATTTTGAGGCTAAGTGTTTCGTAACAACAGGCAAAATAAACTTGAGTGAGCTGCTAACAACCATCAAAACCAACCATGAACTTTATTCCTAGCTTTTGTTTGTACGGCAAGCCTGCTGGAAGACGTAATCAGCTGATGGCTGATGACTACTGCAGAATTTTTCCTCTGTTATAAAGGTGTACAGCCTATCCTAGCATTAGAAATATGCTAAGAACGTGATGCGCTAGTAAGTGTAACACATTTAACAGCTAATAAAAATGACACATACGACGTCGGCGGCATGCAAAATTACGTTCGGCAATTGCACGTGAAAATTCATCGGCACATATTCGACCACTGCTCTGAGGCGGAGGCACCAAGGCGAATAGTGACGAAAACTGAGAGATCATGGGTGCCGCAGGAGGCCTACAAAGGGGCTCCCGTCAACAAGTATAGGGTCCGCAGAGCAAGCAAAAAGAACCCAAGACCAACATGGTGGGCCCATGAACGACCGGTAGTGCCTCGGCAGATTGACATATAAAACACCGGCCAGAGCACAAAACCCTCCAAGCGGGAATCGTCCAAGACCATGAATGAAAACCCCTGTGCAATCAAGAGTGCGCGGGCAGGTTAACAACACGTACCTCGTTAGGGGTGAAGAGTCCTCCGCAAATGAGACCAAAGGGAGAGAGCCATCTATCAAAGTAGATGACCCCTGATTATCGAGTGTCTCCGTGCTTTACTTTATAAAAGTCCTAACAACAGTACAAGGCCCTGCAAGCAAGTAGGAAGAGCCTTAAACTCTTATGAAGGGCCCCCGAGCAACTGAGTGTACCCTGGCATGTAACAACTGGAAAAAAGCATAAGAAGCTTTCGGGCGAATGGGGAGAACCCGCAGAGGAAAACCTAATCGATCAACAGTGCTCAGGCAAGGAGGCAGACAGCGGATTAGCGTCCCAACAGCACATTAGGCCATACGAAAAAAAATGCACAGAGATCATGGGCTACGTGGAAAGCTCCTTAGCGATCAGATTGACCCGGCAAGTGGACATATAAGAGGCCAGGAAACCAACAGCGCAATGGTTCTAGACGGCTTGATGAGCTCCAGAATTTCCCTCGAGCAACACTTTCTCAATCAGTAGAAATGAACTTGGTCTGCTTATGAACTCTTTACTTTTGCTAGCAATTGTTCATGGTCGTCTGTAGGCCCAAAGGCTTCCAATTTTGTTGTGTTTTTATTGTAAGAAAACTGCGTCCGTCAGGCCGGTTATGAGCCCCTTCAGAGCCTTAAGGTTTCCTCGGCATGGTCCATGGGGCATGGTCCCCTGCCTCCTCTCCCCTCCTCTGCATCCGCCACCGGCCCGAGCAGGTTAATAGATGGGGCGCGCCAAGAACATACGGTCATCCACTCAAAAAAAGGAAATACTCACGACGCAATGTGTAGGGCTCTGAACGATCGAGTGCGCCCGAGCAAGTTAACATATAGGGGCCCCCACCAGGGGCGTAGGGCCCTCCATTCAAATAGGAAGTACCCAAGACCCAATGCAGAGGGCCCCGAATGACCGAGTGTGCTCGAGCAGGTTAACAGATAAGGTTCCCAAAAAGAGCGTAGGGCCTCCGTTCAAATAGGGACTATTCAAGACCCAAAGCAGAGAACCCCCGAATGATTCAGTGCGCCAAAGTAGGTTAACATATAGAGCCTCCGTCAAGAGCGTTGGGCCCTCCATTAAAAAAGAAAGTACCCAAAACCCAACGAAGAGTGCCCCGAATGATCGAGTCTGCCCGAGCAGGTTAACAAATAGGGCTCCCAACAAGAGCGTGGGGCCCTCTCTTCGAATGGGAAGCACCGACGACCTTATGTGAATGGCCCCAGAATGATAGAATGCACCCGAGCAGCTTATCAGAAGGGGCCCAGGAAGAGCGTAGGGCCCTCCATTCCAATAAGGAGTACCCAAAACCCAGTGCAAATGGCCCTGAAAGATTGAGTATACCCGAGCAAATTATCAGGTGACCCAGACAGGAGTGTAGGGCCCTAAATTCAGACACCAAGACCCAATGTGCAGGGCCCCCGGACAATCCTGTGTTGCCGAAGTGGCGGACAGATGGGGCCCCCACAAGTACGTTGGGCCCTCCATTCAGATAGGTTGTGCCCAAGACACTATGTGGGGGGCCTCTGGATATTTCAGTGTGCCCGAGCAGGTTAACGGATGGGGCCCCGGCAAGAGCGTACGGCCTTCCGTTCAAATATGAAATACCCACGGCACGATGTAGAGGGCCCAAATAATCGAGTGCGCCAAAGCAGGCCCCGAAAAGCGCGGAGGATCCTCCATCACGAAAAAATGAACCCAAAACCACATGTAGCGGTTGGGATATTGAATGGGCCCGGGCATCTTGCCAGAAGGGGCCCCTACAGAAGCGTAAGGTCCTCCATTCAAACAAGAAGAATCCAAACCCGATGCGGAGGGCCTCCAAAAGGTGAAGTATATCCGAACAGGTTATCAGATGACCCCGATAGGAGCGGAGGGCCCTAAATTCAGACACCAAGAACCAACATGCAGGGCCACACGAGCAATCCAGTGTGGCCGAGGAAGCGAAAAGAGAGGGCCCCCGACAAGTGCGTGGGACCCCATTCAAATAGCATGTGCCGAAGGCCAAGTGTAGAGGGCCCCCGAACGATTGAATGTGCCTGAACAGGTTATGAGATTGCCCCCCCCCCAAAAAGCTTAGGGCCCCCATTAAGAAAAAAGTACACAAGACCCAGTGTGAAGTGTCCCCGAACGATTGGTGTGCCCAAGCAGGCTATCAGATGGGCCCCGACAAGAGTGCAGGGCCCTAAGCAGGTGACAAAGAATTAGAAGCGCCCTAGACCAATGAAGAGGGCCCATGAGCATATCGCAAGTGTTTGGGTAGGCTAACTGAGACCCACGTAAA